GACGGGTACAAGATGACTTATACAGATGGTTCGAAGACGGATGCAGGTGTAGGGTGCGCTTTTGTGTGCGGATCGACCACACGGTCATTCACACTGCCTTCACACGCGTCGGTCTACACTTCCGAGCTTATAGCCATTAGCAAAGCTCTCTGTTTTATTGAAGTGGACGATAGCAATCTGCATTTAATTCTTTCCGACTCCTTGAGCAGCCTGCTGGCTGTTAGCGGCTTCTCCCCGTCGAATCCACTTGTTCAGGACATTCAATCTCGTCTTAGCTCACTGGATCGAGCAGGAAAAGCGGTCGTTCTATGCTGGATCCCAAGTCACGTGGGGATATGCGGAAATGATCTTGCTGACGCGGCAGCAAAGCGCGCTACGACAGGGACTAGAATTCCTATAACACCACTACCTGCTCAAGACATGAACCCCGCAGTGTCGCTGTTTATGCAGAAGCGATGGCAGTTCTACTGGAACTCGCTGAGCGCCAACAAGCTGCAGTCGGTGAAACCCCGCATTGGATTATGGCAGTCGTGCTTTCGGGACAGTAGGGTGGAAGAAGTTGCCCTTTGCCGGTTACGCATAGGTCACACATATGCTACGCACCGTCACCTGCTATTGGCTGGCGACAGACCATGCTGCGGTCGATGCTCTGATCCACTGACCGTGCATCACGTACTGGTCGCTTGCCGCCACCTTGCTGCAACGAGAGCGCAGTTTTTCGGACGCCACGTCCAGAGTCGCACGCTACGCGACTTTTTAGGGGATTCTTCGAACATCGTCGGGTTTGGTTAAGTGCTCCAGTTCCTTCGCGCTATAGATTTTCCTGTAATCTTCTCATCATGATGCTAGGGCCGATCATCATGGCTCTATAGGGTGACCTGATTGATGCACTTCTCTGATTGACGGCTCTGCATGAATCGATAGTTATGGGCGCTGCATGACCTTTAGCAGTCGATGCGCCCTAAATCCCCAAATCATCATCATCATCATCGGTAGGGCTCTCATCACCGTGTCCATCTCACTGTCCCTCCGACAGCCGACCGTCCCTGTTGCTGTTCCGTCTGAACGTGTACTCCGTACTGTTTTAACGTGCTCGTACTCCGGGGGGGGGGGGGGGGTCGGTGTTTTAAAGGGCCGCCCCCTATTGATCGTTCTGGCGCGCATGTCCGGAACGAGCACTCGGGCCAAACGTGGCTATGGCTCGCGGCGGATAGACACGCCGTGCGCCACATCCGAAGCCAACCTATTTATTCCTGCTTCCGAGATTACAAAAAAATAATAATAAAATACACGCATCGCAAGAATGGCCTACTGGCACATTGAAAAACAGCAGGTGGCGGATGCGGCGGATGGATACGCCGCGCGCCACACCCGACGTAGCAAGAAAAGCCGGCGACGGCGCGTTAAAACTAAAGTGCCGTACCGTACCGGAAGTCGGGCATTTCCTCGTCACGTAAATATGTCCTGAAGCCTGAACATTACTCTCCTCACTCAACTCGCCTTTAAGAAAAATTTAACCGCTAGGGCCCCGCCACCCACACGCGCACGCTATTGGAGGTCTGACAACCACGGATGCATCACTAGATTGTTCCCGGCGCCGCTAAATCACTGCATTCATGACACCGCAGTGGATCCTCTTGTCACTGGGTGTGGAAATCTTGTGGATGATTGTGCGCTCCACCTAACGCGCATGCGCTTGGTTGTGGTCCCTCGTACTAGAGCATGTTGTCATGGCAATTTGCCTGCTCCTGAAGCTGTCGTGTTGAATTATGAGGACCTCTCACGTGTCTGTGCACTAATTTGCGTCCCTGCCATGCAGTAGGTGCTCCAGAGACCGATGTGAGACCCGACAACCCAGCGCCTGCTGCGTGCGCCAAGTGGAACCGCGGGAACAACGTCACCGCTGCCGACGGTGCCTCGGCGGTCCGCCCCGACACCGGTGACCTCCGCGTCCCAGGCCGGAGCTGCCGGCAGACGGCCGAACGGGCCAGCGACGGCCACAAGGGAGAGGGGGATCAAGAACGGCAGAAAAGTGCATCGGTTGGTTTGAGACAGGCCAGCGAGCAGGGAAGATGGGCCATCGCGTGTGAGAGATACGGTACTAGGTACAGAGGTACAGTGTAACGAGTGTAAGAGGTGCACTACCGGTTGCAGAGTTGCCAGCGAGTGTATGATATTTTTTCACCACTGCATGTAGAGAGGTCGGGGAGACTAGGAGGAGAGATTAATGGGTGTTGAGTTGGGTCACACGAGCGACGATCAGCCTGTCTGGGCAAGAGAAGAAGGCGTCACCGGTCGTGAACACGTGCGGTGTGACAACAACTGCCCGGAGCGGCCAGTGGCTGTTCACTCTCGCGAGCCGTGAACGCTGTGAACCTGATTGTCACCGAATGTGTGTGACGACATGGTTTCCCATGTTACCAAGTTGACCCACGCTCTCGCGGCGTCTGCTGGGGCCGCTCCCTCGGGATTGTGACCGACTGCTGGGCGTGTCCCGGGCCCGCCTCCCCGGGATTGTGACCGACTGCTGGGCGTGTCCCGCGCGGACCACCGGCGAGCGGTGATGCGGTGACCGTGATGTTTGCGGCCTGGCTGCAAGGTCCTGTGACCAAGGCTGGGCGGCTGAGATCATGCCTGGGGATCGCAGCAGCACGCCAACATGTATAGGGCTAACACGCTCGGCGTCAGCGTCGGTCTAATGTCTTGGAGGGTGTTATGGATGATGACGTCAAGCGCGCGTTTGTCACGCTCCACTGACGTGATACGCGCATCAGATTCCTATGATGTCGCCTGTGCGGTGACGTGCGTTCGTCGCGTTGAACTTCCATTGCTCACTGTTACCGATGCCGAAAAGTTGGTTGCACTCGTTGAAGTTTGGCTGTCCATGATCTGGCACTGGCGCAATTTCCTTGTTTGTCATTGGCGCTGTGATCTGCTCCATGTGTGCCGCAGCATGGCGCTAACACCGCGCTGCACGGTGCTGCTCTGGGCTGCCACACCCCAGTCTGGGCCGTGTCACTGAGTCAGCGGCAGGGAGCGGTTGGTGGCCCACGGAAGCGATAGTTCGTTCCGGGATCGCATGGTATTGCTTTCTTCGGGCTGGAGGAGCCCGCCTCGACAACAGGGTTGTTCTGTTTTTGTCATTGAGTGTTTGTGCTTGTGGAATGTTGCGAAAATAAATACACGATAATAATAAAACTGTGTGACTTTTTACCGACGACCATTCGGCTTCCCGCAACAGAGAAGAATCGTAAACGTGAAACAATCGCGCAAATCAAACAAAGCGAACAAACCGAATCGATCAAAATCGACAGCAAAGTTGAACAAATTGGGAACAATCGTGGACCTTAATTCGCGCTTGTTATTGCAGGATGTACACTGTGCACATTTAAAGATGCCTCTTGAGTCGTGCAGGCAACGGGGAAATTTTGGGCGCCGAATATTGAGTTTTCTCTCATGAGACAATCTTAGGGCCCTGCGCCATTGGCGTATCACTTGACTGGGCTGCGGCATCCTGCACAACCAAACGGACGGTAATCTAGAGCCTTTGCTTTACTTCGCACCACACAATTTTTGGCGGCATCCACGCAGCGTTGCCATACATCTGAGTATCAACAGGACAATGTACATTTCGCCGCATTAATAGGAAATGTTATTCCGGGTCGGAAAATCGTCAGGTGAGGTCCAGAAAGCAAAAATAAAACGGCAGTTTGTTTCGATGCATTTCCAGAGCCTTCTTCTGGTTAACGTAATTTGTTTTGAATTAAAAGCCTTGGAGCCCGTGTTTGCCGTTGAATGGAAGGCGTGAGGTATTGGCGGGTGGTCGCAACACGTCCTGATGAGGCGGCACGTCGCGAGGACTTCAAATTAAGCGGTCAGTGGGAAACGGGTCTGGCGTGTTTGACACCGAAGACGCGGCCGCAGCTCACTGTTGTAGCCCCCCCTGCCTAAAATGAACTAGAATTCAGTCAGGGATCTGTGCACAAATGCAATGTTAATAGGTCATGCAGTCCTTCTCAGATGAGAAATGTTAAAAGTGGGCAAAGTAAAGTTCCCACACATTACAACTTTGCACGTTGCGTATGAATGCCGAGTTAAGTTTCATCTGGCGTCAGGGTCCGATTGAATTTCATGCGATTACGGAGAAACGTGGGGACCGGATGAAGTAACGGAGGTGGGGACCGGAAAGTTTGCCAGGCGCTCCATAAGTATCCAAATTTGCGTGAAACCTATTGACACCACAGGGTAGTGAGCAAAAAAGTCTTTAAGACGCAATCCTCACTCCAAAATTTGAACTATTATAAGGTCCTGGGATGTCTCCATATCATCCGCTGAGTAGGCATTTCGGGTACCATTACAGTGCCATCTACTCCCCCCAAAAATGATACGCGCCATGAGCAGCACTTGCGCTACTTTGCGCGTACATCTAGAAACACTTTTAACCATTGATGGTGATGTACATGTTAAATCGGTTTTCGCTCCTTGTATTTTCCCTTGACACACACGCGACCAAGCCCGAGGGCGCAGAATTACTTGTGACCGGATTTGCAGTTTCCTATTCTGCTTGGGGAGCTTCAGCCCCCCCCCCCGCCCCCTCCTTCTCCAGCTGGGACTCATTCCCCTAATTAGAGAAGATCGGCCAAATCCGGAGGGAAACCCGCTCACTGACGTATTTTGACGGCAGGCTTCCTCATTTCTCATTGTTCAGCCCCCCCCCCCCCTTCCTTCTACTTAGTTTTCATAATTACGCCCCTGCTAGTGACTGAAGACCGGGCAAAAGTCTCGTACCATCCTACATGAGCGTAACTCTACAGTTCACTTGAACAATTGGGTCAAATTGGGTCGCATAGGCAGTAAATATTGTTTCGTTAGGTTTGGGCATAACCACAGGGCACAGCTCCTGTGCGCTCCCCAGCTGATCCGGACAAAAACAGATGATCGCTGCGCATGCGCAGAAGGTGGAAGTGCGGTATCATTTCTGACGCTGCTCGTGTGGAGTGGTGGAGGGTTAAGCTCAGTTTTCTTTATTTAGCCTTTAGATGTCAGAAACACAGTCTTCTCTTCTCCTCAGAAAACAACTGGCTGGTAAGCGCATATTTTTATATCACATCGCGTTATGCTGCCTCTATTCGGGAACTATAAGGTCATGGTTTCTGCGTCGCTTTTGCCCATTTTGTGGCTGAGCAACAAAACTTACGGGTAAATCACGCGTGCCGTTACCGGTAATATCAGAGAAAGTGATTGCACTTGATTAATCTCATCTTCACAAACACCCGAACTGTAAGGCCGTTTCCATGAGGAGGGCTGATCGGTGAAATGTCAGAATGGTCATCGGTTAACTGTGTTTGTCACTAATTGGGCTCTGAGCGTGGTATGTTCGCCACATGTATAATATGTTATATTCTATATGTTCCAAAAATGAATTAGAAGATGTAAAGATCATTATTTTTTGCAAGTAGTGCAGTCTTTGCAATTTTTGGAGGAAGGTGGGCATCAATCAATCATGCTTACATCAAGGGGAAGTGTTAATAGAGTGTAACAGAGGTGTTGCAATGCAGGGAGGTGAGGTTCTCGGCAGCCTAACATTACAGCCATGTCTGGTTGTAAATAATGCAGAAATGGGTTAAAAGAACTTGAAATACAAGCTGGATGTAATTGGCTTCGTGTTCTGACAAGGAACACATCTAGCAGAAGATGCCAGGCATCTCTAACTTAATTAGGTGTCAAACAGATGTTCCTTTTTGGTATGTCATTCTGAACACAGAGTAGTTGGGGGAGGGTACTATACCCATTATGTAACCAGGTAGAGAAGGGGTGGCAACAATGATCCAAATGGATTCCATGGTTGATAGATAGCCCCATACATCATTGGAGTTTCAATGCAAGAGCCTTCATGGGCTTCCATGTAGGGAGCCAAGGTGTGCTGATCCATAATACTGGGACCCTGTTATGTTATATTTCTCTGTGTGCATGAACAGTTAAACTTTTATAGTTTTGCTTTGTCTTATATATGGTGTCAAATGGCCTACCTTGCTCATAAAAGAAGCATGCTAGTGTGGCTCTTGAGGTTTGCCTGGATATTGTGTTTGGATGACTTTATATTTTAGCATGTATTTGTTGTGCTTTATATTTTAATGTGGAATGTATGAAAAAGCAGAAAAAATCAATTTGCACAAAAAGAAAATGGTGAGATATCAAACCTAAAGGTACTAGTCTGCATATTTTCTGAGAACTGAGCTGTAGCTACATATCCCTCAAAACATTTTGATTTAGTTTCAATTTCTGGATAGCTTGTATAGCATCAAGCTAGAAGATGATAATTATATGATAAGTAGGTGATTATGGCTTTGTACCTAACATTCATCTTGGATGGGTTCTTTGAGGTTGGCTTCACATATTTGTATAGCTTTTGTTGTAGTAAACCAACATGTATGATTATTTGGGTTTGTCATTCTTTGACACTTGTGTTGTTGACTTGTTGACTCAGCTGTCTGTACCATGTGAACTGATGCATTCACCTTGGTAGAAATGCACTATTAGTAAATTATCAGTATGTGTTATTGATGTGCTGCATGGACTGATCAAACAAAATACCTATATTATAGGATGTGCCCTGCAGTCCAATTGGCTTACCTTGTTGTCTCTGAAAAGCAGTGCTCACTTAATCCCAAAAATCCCCAACCAGTCACACTATGGTGTGACAATGCTACTGTGTGCCAACAGAGCAAGTCGAGCACTTGTCATCACTATCAGTAGTTTAGAAAATGAAGAGGTTTGCATGAGTTGCATGCATTTCTCAGTGGTGGTCCTTGGTGTTAATATATTCAGACAACTGTGGGATGTCATGTATTGATTGGTATCCCTGTGTGATTGTTTTAAACCTTTCCTGAACTATGATATTACTTTTGTTATTATCACAGCTACATGGTATCACCAAAGGAAGACATTACCACCTCTCCTTGACACTTTGTCCTGTCCCATTGTCAACAATAATCCTATTGTTTGAGCAGGGTGACCATCAAAATCATTGGTTGGACATCCAAGCACCAGGAGCTCTCCTTGAGTATATAATCCTAGCAACACCCATGGCAGCATTGCACTGAGTCTCATCTTATGGAATGTGCTGTTTTCCTGGTAATTTCTTCCTGTGATAAATTTTTTGATAGTAGTGAATAGGGTTGTCACTCTAGAACTAAAGAACAATCCTGTCGCTATGTGCTCATCAGGCCCAGTTGATAGCGGTGGCATTCCTCAGATGTAAAGCATCAGTGATGCACATGCCAGTGCTGAATCCATACTCCTGTTGTGGCCATTGCTTTGCTTCCTGATAGTTAAATGTGTTTTTAATGAAATCCCATGATGATGAAACATGCTCCTGATTTCAGAACTGAACAAGAACCCTGTTGATGGGTTCTCAGCAGGCCTAATTGATGACAATGACATCTTCAAGTGGGAAGTTCTCATCATAGGCCCTCCAGACACGCTCTTGTAAGTAATTCTGTGTCCATCATTCAGCTGCAAATTGCCTTTTACAATAGTCCATATTCGTGTTCGAGGCACAGAAGGTTTTGTCAGAACTGCCTGAACTTGTCTTAGAATATGCCACAGATCTGCTTGATGGGAACTAATTGCATTCATGCCGTGGATGAGATAAGTGCTTCTTCCAGCGAGGGTGGCTTCTTCAAGGCTCACCTTTACTTCCCGAAGGAATATCCCCATCGGCCTCCAAAGATGAAGTTCATCACTGAGGTGTGGCATCCTAACAGTGAGTATCATGTACCTGTTTTTGTTGTGATGTAATCAATTTAGTGTAGCATAAATGGTGTTGTCGGTTATGGTCGGCGATGTCACGGACATCGACAATTACAATCCTCTGTTCCTCAGAGACTCCGCAGCTCTGCTCGGTCAGCTACAAGACGTGGCCCAGTTTTTTCCTTCCGAAATGTGCTCATACTGACAGACTGGCATAAACTGCCTATCGCAGCATTAGGTGTTGATACGATGACTCGACCGCTCATACTGAAAATAATGCCGAATCCGTCATCAGTGGTACTGTAAACCCATTTTTCGGAAGATTTTGAACTTTTTCCGTACTGTGAGGAAATGCCCGTCATGGCTATAGGAACGTTTTTAAAGCGGTTGGGTCGACCTAATTTTTTCATGACATATGCTGGCACACATCACCGTCGGTGTTAAGAAATGGGGAGGCCTGGGCACGGATGTTTTCTTCCTGTGTCTGAGCATGCAGTCATACAACACACCAGTTCAACGCAACAAAGACCTGCACCCAACCATCCAGTTACATGATTTCACTCTTCAACTCATACAAGACTCCCCAGCTCGTATTCTGTTACCCTGCGTGCCCAAGCTTACCCCACCCACCCCCACCTCACCCGCCCCGCGCCTCCTGACCACCACTCTGCGGCCAACAGTCGAGAAGAACGGTGACGTGTGCATCTCGATCCTGCACGAGCCCGGCGACGACACCTACGGCTACGAGAAGGCGTCGGAGCGATGGCTGCCCGTGCACACGGTGGAGACGATTCTCATCTCGGTGATCTCCATGCTGGCCGACCCCAACGACGAAAGCCCGGCCAACGTGGACGCCGCCGTGAGTGTTGCCGTCCCGTGACCTGCGGTCGAGCGCGGTTGCAGCTGAGGTCAGGTGGAGGATGTGCCGGGAAGTCCGCGCGCGTTGACCAGCGTCCAGCACGAGCACACTTCAGCTCGTCCGCGGCTAACAAGGCGGCATGCGGTGTGATTGTGGGGTGATGTTTTCCTGCGGGTTTTTTGACAGAACTTCATGCCGTACTTCTGGTTGACGCATTTCTTTGGATACAAAATGTCATATCGCATGCTTTGACGTTTTCCGTTTGCACTCAAATTTGCCTACGCACAAGTTTGCGTGCGAATAGATCTTCGTATATAAATTTGGAACGCGCATTACGAACCGCCGCATATCGACGTGGTCTTATAACTCCATAAATGTACTTCTGGTTTCTCTTGCGCACGATTTATCGCATCCTGTTTCATCTTACAGGCATTCGTGCGTGTCACTTTCCCCGTATATGCCATGCGCATAGCAGTTTTGCGTATTCGCAGCCTTTCGATCCATTTTCTGCGCAACGCATTTCATCGTGGCAGTCTTAGGCTTCACTTCGGAGGTAGTCTGAATTGTTAAAAAAGTCGACCAAGTTATTGAGTCATAGTAGAATTGATTCCTCACATTTACGCACCTGGGGCGGAGTTGGAGGTGACTCCGCAAAGTCGTCAGTGAGCCGACTCAACTAGAGGCAAACGCCAGCGCAGTCCGCACCAACGCACGACTTGTAGTGTGGTGCGTGAATGTATTTCAAACCTTAACCGTAGTATTCCAAACCTTAAGCGTAGTATTTCAAACCTTACCCGTAGTATTTCAAACCTTACCCGCGCTATTTCAGACATTGTTCGTAGTGTTCCAAACCTTAAGCGTAATGTTTCAAACTTTACCCGCAGTATTTCAAACCTTACCCGTACTATTTCAGACCTTATCCGTAGTATTTCAAACCTTACCCGTAGTGCCCCGATCAACTCTTCCGATCTCAGCCGGGCGCTTAGCTATCGACATCAGCCAAAAGTCCAGGGAAGTCTAGTGCATACCAACGTAGACCCCAAATGTTCTGTCCGAAGTGCAGACATGGCCGTGAGAAGAAGCACATAACGGAACATCCGCCGTGAGTCACCCGCCGCATCTACGTTGCGAAAACTGTATGCTTACATGGAGCCCCACCGAGACACGAAATAGGTTCCGTCAAATAATAATAGTGCAGAAACTGGAAGCACTGCAGAATGTTTGCGAGGTGTCATGCGCAAACCGAGCCGCCGACCTCAGCACTTTTGACTGCACCAGATTCCCCCACTCATCACGTTTCCACACGCCAAATTTGACACTAAAATCTCCCCGCGTTGGCCATCCGCAGTCCGCGCGCGCGCGAGCCTCAGGCGGAGGCCGCGCCTGACGGCCACGTAAGGGGGTCGCCGGACGGCTCGCGAGTCACGTGTCAGGTTCGCGCCGGCGGGCGGACCCCCGTAATCGTTCATTTGACGTGCGCCCGTGGTAGTCCATTCCCTGCTGATCTCCGGATCGCGACGCTTAGCACGTGCCGCGGAGGTCAGAGCTCATACGTAGCGCCGGGTGTGGGGGTGACCATGAAGTTATTGCGTAAGATATGCCGCGAATGGCGCTAGGCACGTTATGACTAACATAGCATGGTTTGTGAAAGGGGACTTTGGCCCAACATGAGTGATTTGAAGGTGTGAGGCTTGGGTTTTTATTCTTGCGAGCCTCGTGAAATGTGGGTGATTCACTAAACGTCTGAACGTTTTAGTTGTCATGCTTTCAGTTGTCCTGGGCACAATAGTTCTGTATGGTAGCTCCACGAACATTTGCTAGGCAAGACAAGTTGTATTTATTACTACGTGCCCGCATGATATGATCACAATGTTCGACTGCCTGAGCGAATCACTTGTATTGCTGTAGACAAACCTTGATGTATTATTTGATCTATAATAGGACTTAGTACGATGCCTAATTGGAATAACTTATACAACCTTCAATAACAATTGTTTGCCGAGGCAAGGCTGGCCAAGCCAGTGTTCTCGCTCATACAGCACCTTAAGTCTATGAGGTCTGACCCCCAGTCCTCATAACGCCCGATTCACCACGTGCTCGAACTCCGAACTATCCTGCTTGTGAAGTCACACTTTGCCGGCCTTGAGTGTATGATAAGGTCTGGCCTCCAGTCCTCACGACGCCGGACTCACCACGTGCTCGAACTCCGAACTATCCTGCTTGTGAAGTCACCTCTGTCGGTCTCTGTGCAGGGTGTGCGTGATCCTGACGGTGCGTCCAGTCCAGGCGCCCTGAAGCTGCAATCCCACCGCCACCACCAGTAGTCCCAGCTGACAGCTGATTCCATGGAGACAGCTTTTGGTCACTGACAGGGTATTGACAGCTTGCAACGTGGATGCCTCGATGCCATTGGCGTAGACTGGATGCCTCCGAAAGCCCTTCGATAGCTGCTGGCGCGGGTACGGCCGCTCCGATCAGCTGTGTTCTACTGCTCGATGCCGGTGGGCGTCTCGCCGGTGACCGCTGACCCGGTCACGCCATGCGGCGGCCGGCTGCGGTGCTACATGTAGTGTGAGCGCGCGGCCGTGAGGGGCAGGCTGCGGATGTAGTCGGGTCTTCGGTATGGCGGTCGGTGCGGTCGGAGCAGCTGTTCAGCCGGCGCTGCATGCTGCCGAGCCGCAGCGACAACTCGGCCACCGTCGACAGGATGGCATTCATCTTCTGGCCGAGAGCCTCGGCCGTGCGCCGCGGCTGGATGACCTCCTGGCGCCAGCGGCAGGCGTCGCCGCTCCGCCCGGCCCATCCGCGTCTTGTCGGCGTTGGGCCGGCCCGCAGCCGACTCCGGCCCCGCCCGGCCGGCGGTCCTCGCCGTCTCCACATCGGGCGGCGTCCCGTCACACGACGGTCGACGCTGCCGGGGGGACAGGGCGGTGCCGCCGGCCGTCAGGCCCATCACGTGCAGCTCGTCCTCAGTGGCCGAGTGCGGCCGGCTCACCTCGGCCAGCAGGTTGTCCAGCAGGCTCTCGTCGCCGCGCTGGGTGCTCGTCGCCGACCCGCCGCCCGCCGGCGCAGCAGGCGCAGCAGATTACGCTGCATCCAAGCCGCGCGTCTCCAGCGGGCTGGCCAGCAGGCAGCCGCTGGCGCCGCGCCGGTACAGCGCGCGCCGCTCGCAAGCGCCGGTTCGGTCGGAAGCCGGCCTGGTGCGAGCCGTCGGCCGCCGCCGGCGGCGCGCTGCTGTCGGCGCGGTCGGGCTGCACGCGGAGCAGCGGCAGCAGGGCGGCGCGCTCCTGGAGACGCCGCAGCAGGCGCGTCGGCAGCAGCGCTGTGAGCGCCTCCGAGTGCAGCACCGACTCCACCTGCAGGATCTGCACGGCCGTGTGGCGCAGTCGCATTACGCCCGCCTCGCAGAGAGCGCCTGCGTGTCGGCTGCCGTTAGGCCGATCAGCAGGTTGATGGCGATGATGCTCATGCCAACGATGAAGAGTAAGAGCAGCAGGTGCGAGGGGTGCGGCGAACGCCGCCGCCGGGAAGAGCACGTCATAGTCGTACTCCGCCCATCATCATGAAATAGGCTGTGAGCAGCGACACAGGAACGCCGCGGAAGGCCCACGCTGCTCTGGAACAGCACGTGGAAGCTGAGCGCGAAGGCGAGCAGCCAGCGGCAGAAACAGCCAGCATCAGCAGCGCCAGCTTGCGCGCCACCCGCGCGAACATGTAGACGTAGATGCCCGATGGTGGGGGAAGCGGCCCCAGCATCAGCAGCAGCTCCACCCAGTGCGATGAGCAGCACCCAGGCGGCCACATGCGTCACCCAGACGCCCGTGCTGCCCTGGCCTACCAGCAGGGCCGATGTAAGCAGCAGAATCGCCGCCTCCATCCAGTTTTCAAAGCTGCGCACGAAGAGCGTCCGGTCGAAGGCGAGCTGGAACGCCTCGCGGAAGGCCATCACGGCCGCCAGGGGCGCGACGACGCCGGCGAGCGCGTCCGCCTCGGTGCCGCCCGGCCGCCGCAGCCGCGCCCAGCAGTACGCCGTCAGCAGCGCGGTCAGGCACGCGTACAGCGCGAAGTTGGCGTAGAAGAAGTGGCGTACGCGCCGCCACTTGGCGTGCAGGAACGTCTCGACCGCCGGATGCTTGAGGAGCTCGTCCTGGCCGCTGGCGACGATGCCGCCAAGCAGGTCGGCCTCCGGAGCCAGCGGTGGCCGTCGCTCGCGGCAGAACGGCGCGTAGTCGATGTACACCTCCAGCTGCGAGCTGTCGAACGGCTCCCCGTTCGTGGTGACGCAGTGATCGAGCGCGGCCGGCACGGCGGCCGGTGCCTGTCGCAGCAGCGCCAGCAGCGCCGTCTCGTCGGCCGGCGGCCCGGCCGCCAGCAGCGCCAGCGCCGTCTCCGCTGAGCCGGCCAGGCGCAGCGGTGTCAGACCGGCGTCGTTGGCGCGCCGCGCCGCCGCCGGCGCCAGCCGCAGCGCCAGCAGCGTCGCCGGCACGCTGCCGGCGCGCACGGCCGCGTGCAGCGGCGTGTCGCCGGCGGCGTCGGTGCGCCCGCAATCGGCGCCGAGCTCCGCCAGCGCCGCCAGCGCCGGCGCGTTGCCGGCGGCCGCCGCCAGCTGCGCTGCCGTGCGGCCGGTGGCGTCGGCGTGCTCCAGCGACGCGCCGGCCGCCGCCAGCAGCCGCGCCAGCCGGCCCGTCAGCGCCGCCGGCAGCCGGCTGGCGGCCAGTGCGTGCAGCGCCGTGCAGCCGCGGCTGTCGGCGCGCGCGCGCGCGTCAGCGCCGCGCGCCAGCAGCAGCGCGGCCAGCGCCACGTCTCCGGCCGACACGAGCGCGTGCAGCTGCAGGTTGGGCCGGTAGAGAGTGTGTGCGCGCCGGCCGCGCCGCCCGGCGGGCAGCGGCACGGCCATCACAGCCGCGTTGGGGTCGGCGCCGAGCGCGATGGCGCGCCTGGCCAGCCGCCGGTCGCCGGTCATGCAGGCGCGGAAGAGCCGCTCCTGCGGGCTCAGCGCGCGCCCGTCGGCCGCGTCCTCGCCGACACTTTCCAGCTTGTCCGGGTCGTTGTCGTTCTCGTCGCACGGCACGCCGGCGGCGGCCGTCTCTTGGAGCGAACGGAGCCGCTGTCGGACGTGAGCGGCTGTCGGCGACGGTAGCGAGGCGTGCGCGGTGCGGCCCGGAACGTCGGCCAGGCGCGGCAGCAGCGGCTGCAGCGGTATCGCGCACGTGTCGTCATCGGTGGCCAGCCGGACGGCGATTCGCCGGTGCGGTGACGTCATGGGAGCTGAAACGGCGAGCGTGGCGGATGTCAGGGGGTCCGTGGCCCTGCGTTGTTGCGACGATGCGCGCGGTCGATCGCTGTTGACGGCCAACGCCCAGTTTTGATAAGGCGGACGGGTATATACTGTGCTTCCGCTGTGGTGCGGAAGCTATCATCGCCGCCCGATACTGGCTCTACCGGCCTCGACGGCACTCGTTTGCTGTCGACATTACTAGCCCGTTTACTCGTTACATTACTCATTTGCTGTCGACGTAACTAGCCCGTCGTCGTCGTCTGCCGAATGCCTTTGTCGAAGCAAGGAAGGATTTCATTACAGTTTTCACCTTTCCTCAGCATCGCGTAAGCTGTTAAGTGCAGTTGCGGGGAACCTTATGCATATAGATGGGGCGGTATTAATACCCTTATTCCTCGTAGAATAAACGGGAGTATGGAGAGGTGGTGTGGTATTTGGGCTACATGTCTTTATCAAAACGAATATCCCAACGT